AAGCTTGAATGGGAAAGGGACTATTGGAGAGGTTGGAAGCCCCCAGATGCGGCAGCGGCAGTAGCGCCAACTCTCCAGATGCTCGACGGGCAGCTTACAGGAATTACGCCGTCCGAGACCCTCGCGACCCTGGAGACCCTCAAGAAGGCCACCGAGAAAGCTGCAGTTCCTCCGCCCTTGTCCCCGTTGGAGGCCTTGCGGCAGTCCTCAGATGCAGTTGGGCGAGGCGGATACCATTCTTCAGAAAGCGGCCGCGGTGTATGAGGAGGCTCTCATGGCACGTGACATGGTCAAGGACAAACTCGAGCATGCAGTCGAAGCGCACGAGACTGGTAGAGAACAACATCAGGAACTGCTGCGGCAGAGGCGGGAGAAGAAGCGCACGGTTTCGGCCCCGACGAAACCAGGCTTCAGCTTACATCGAATATCCTCGAAACAATTCGCTGTCGACTTGGACTTTGGTTAGGGTCTGGGCGGACTCGAGTTCACGACGGAGGAGCTGAAATATTCGACAGAACGCAAGACGCACTTGTCGGAAGACTTGGGCAATAATATCTAGAACGCGCGACGTGGCAAAGGAGGCCGGCAAGTAAGCGACGGCTCCACCGTCGAGGCTGCGTTCCGCAGGGCTTCGGCGGGGCGCCACCCCGACGGGGCGCTCATTCTGGGGCCCGCCAGGAGAGCCCGCTGCTGCGCGGACTCGCCAGGGGGCGCGCCCCGTGCGACGCTGGGCCGCAGCTGCTCCAGGCCAGCGCGGCGATGCCGCCTTCGCCCGGAGGCTTCTCTGGCGGGGGCGGCCCTGCAGCCCGCGCCCTGGCCGAGGCGAGGGCCAGGGGCCAGGGGGCGCGCAAAGGCGAGCCCCCTACCGGGCACGCCTCGGGCGTTGCAGGTGCTCGATGGCCGTGTCTTCTCGGGTCGCCGCCGCCGAGGCGCAGCTGCGCCGGCGCCTGGCGCTGCCTGGCGCCGCAGCCGCCGGCGGCGCCTTCGGTTCGGCGGGCCGCACGTTTGCGCCGAGCGCGGGAAAATGCATGATTTTATTCTCTTCGCCTCCTGCGCCCTTTGCGGTCTCTGCTGCTTCGCCGACATCGTCGACCAAACGGGCCCCCTCGATTGGGCGGCGTCGCGAGGCCTGCGCGCGCGGTGGCCCCGAGCACGCGCGGGGGCCCTCGCGGGCGCGCGCCTGTCGCGCCGACTGCCCGGAGACGGGTCGGGATAATAGGTGCTCAACATTTGTACGCGCTACGTATGTCCATATAACTATACTTATAGTCACAGTTATAATCGTACATATATACATATGTACAAGTGGCACGTGTGTGCCCAGACTCATACAAAAAACTGAAAAGGGCGTTTGAAGCAGGAGAAGAGGAGGAGGGTAGCTGCTGGGAGTGAAATGCAATAGCCAGGTCGCACTCGAGCGCAAGAAGGGTTGCCACACCTTGCGCTGTGTGTACCAGGGCCCCCCAGGAAGCCTCAGGAGGCCCGACTTGGATACCGGAAGAGGCTCCAGGAGGCCCCAGGATTGTGAGTGTCGTGTGTGTGTGATGTGTGCTCTGTGTTGTGCGTGGCTTGTGCGTTGTAGGTGTTGTGTGTGTGTATGTGTGTGTATATGTGTGTGTGTGTGTGTGTGTGTGTGTGTGTGTGTGTGTGTGTGTTATGTTTGTCTAGCGTGTGATGTGTTGGTTGTGATTTGTGTCTCTGTGTGTGCATGTAGTCCTCAGGCCCCAGAAAGCCCCAGGAGGCCCCAGGCGGCCCCAGGAGGCCAGGAGACCCCAGGAGGCCCCAGGAGGCCCCAGGAAACCCCCAGGAGGCTCCAGGAGGCCGCAGGAGGCCCCAGGAGGCCGCAGGAGGCCCCAGGAGGCCCCAGGAGGTTCCAGGAGACCCCCAGGAGGCTCCGAGGCGGGGTCTGGGGTACCAGAAGGCACAGAAAGCCCCAGGAGGCCCCAGGAGGTTCCAGGAGGCCCCCAGGAGGCTCCGAGGCGGGGTCTGGGGTACCAGAAAGTACGTCGGAGTTCGATTTTGGGAGGTTGTCTCAAGCGAAACTGCCATTCTCTGAGAATCGGGGTCAAAATTATTGAAATTACAATGTGGTTTTGAAGGTGTTATGTTAAATGCCAATGTGTTTTTGGACCCTGACGTCACGATCGGTGTGAGGGGTGCCACCGTTTTCAGAATTTCGAGGATGTCCCGAGCGAAGCGGCCAGAAAAATCGCGAACGACTCGACGCGTACGCATTAATCGCCTCTGAGCTCTACTACCTCGGAGAGGAGCGTCCTCGACTTTCTGAATCAATGGTGGTCCGATGAGTTCGTACCGGACGATATGTTGGCAGCCAGGGTGGTGTTCCTGTTCAAGAACAAGGGCAGCGCTGCCAACCTCGGCAACTACCGCCCCATCTCCCTGCTGAACTCGTTCTATAAACTCATTGCGGGGGTCCTCAAAGACCACATCGCCAAGAAGATTGACAACCTCCTACAACCGACGCAATTTGGATTTCGGGCACGGCGCAGCACGTCCCAAGCCTTGAAGATCGTCAGACAGATGGTTCACCAAGGCGCCAGCACCCGAAATTACAAGCAGGGCTCTCCGCTCGATCTGCTGTTCCTCGATTGGGAAAATGCGTTCGACCGCGTCACACACGAAGCCTTATTCAGCGCTCTGGAGCGCATGCAGCTGCCGGCCAAAATCGTTAACGTTGTGAAAGCCTTGTATAGGAACCCCACTTTCCAGGTAGGCATGGACAACTACGAGTCAAAATGGCACCGCCGGGACGCTGGGATCCGCCAGGGCTGCCCTCTCTCACCGTATCTCTTTCTGATCGTTATGCATGTGCTGTTCCAGGACATCTACAGCAAGCACGGCGCGTCGCTTTCGGAAGGGCGTCCGCCCGGACTTACATTCGATGCAGTACTGTTCGCTGACGACACGATGTGCGTTTCTTCCAATAAATCTCAAATCACACGCATGCTGCACGCCATTGAAAAAGAAAGCGCGCGTTTCGGGCTTAACCTAAACAGAACAACATGTGAACTCATGGTCATGGGACAGCCAAGTCGGATAAGATACCGGGATGGCACGCATGTTCCGCCCACGGAGACGGTAAAGTATTTGGGCTGCCCCCTTGACAGTAAAAACGACGTCGGTAAAGAGATCAGCGCACGCATCCGCAACTGCTACCAAACGATGCAACGACTTGATGCATTCTGGCTGCACAGCGATTGCTCGGTCTCGCAAACAATACAAATATTCAACGCCGTATGCAGATCGAAATTGTTGTACGGCTTAGAAACCATTCAATTGACCCCCGGGCAGACACAGCGGCTCGACGGCATTCAATTGAAAGGCCTCCGCAAGATCCTGAGGATCTCGATTACTTTCGGCCAAATGGCCCAGGGCCAGGACCGCACGAACACGAACGAACACATCTACAGCCAAACCCAAAATGCCTTCAATAGCAGGAGACCTCATAAGGCCCTCGAACGCTTCAGCGCCACGTACGAAAAAATCAAGTTTGATCTGCTCTTCCGCCTGATCTCAGCCCCCGCGACGGACCCAGTCGCCTCCTGCACTTTCGACCCACATACGCTCCGGCCTTGGGACTACGGCCCCA